AAGATTTGAATATTTGATAACATTTACCAATAACTTGAGGATTATTCCATTACTTGTTGATATTCATCAATAAGTTTTTGTTCACGTTCGATAGCAGGACGAAGTAATTGACAAATTTCATTATTTAGTTTATCTTTATTTTGTTCAAATATAGTCCATTTATCTGATGAATATAAAATTTTTTGTACAATATCTAATGTTTCTAATTTATGTTCTTCATTCTTGGAATTAAATTGTTTAATAATCGATAGAAACAAATTATTAATTTTGAAGACTTCCTTTTTAACAACACTATTAAGAGTGAATGGTAATACTAAACCTAATGTATCTATTACTGGTATATTAGGTAATATATCATCTATAGTATTGAAAGCATACGAAACTATTTTTTTATTGTTTCCATCATAAACATGTTTTATAAGTAGTGTATGACGTTGAATAATTCGAAATATTTCTTTTGTTTTTCCTCCAAATAAAGAATCATTATTTAACATATCTAAATATCGATTAACTATTATTGATGTACCTTGATTTATTATCTGATCGAAATCACCAGAAATTAAAGCTTCAATAGCTTTATATTGTTCTAGCATTTGTTTATTAAAATCAATCGTATGATTATCAATACTTGCTATATTCATACTAGTTAAAACAATATTTGTTAAAGTCTCAATAGTAAATTCTTTTGTACATAATTGATGAGGGTGTGGGTGTGGGTGAGGGTGTGGTTCTTCTTTTAACCCACATACACACACCCACACCCACACTCACACCCACACCCACACCCACACCCACACCCACACACCCACACCCACACCCACACCCACACCCACACCCACACCCACACACCCACACCCACCCCCACCCCACACCAACACACCCACCCCACACCCACCCACACCACACCCCACCCCATTTTCTGTGATGTATTAAATATATGTACTTGAAGGACATTTTATATATATATGTAAGATACGTTTCTTGGACACATTCAACCCGATAAGATCCACTGGAGAGGCTCACTATATTTTAACAAGAAACTTAGTAGAAAAACACTTCATGATTATTGTTGCTTGATTTGTTCATAGCAGCCAGTACAGCGTCTTCGGACAGAGCGCACAGATGCTTTCTTTAGTTCGAACTGGTGGTCAGCAAGTTTACGCTTCGGCTGACCTCTTGATTTTTGTTCGCGACCAGGTTTCAACTTCTCGAATGGCATACCAAGCAATAAATATCGCACAGGACTGTTCAGGGAACTGCAGAATGATCACTTTGCTTGTAGAATAGTTTTTCTTATATATCAAATAGCTATGAACTATTGGCCTGCCAAAAATCAATTCATATGTCACCTTTCGGTACCATTGTGTTTACCGTCTGAGACATGTATAACATGCTGATAGCTGATCTGATAAATCATTATCATGTCTTTCTTCATTGTAGTCTGTGCGCACTGTCTGGAAGCGCTGTGCTGGATGCTATGAACAAATCAGGCAACAACAATCATGGGAAGCAAGTGATACGACAGCAAAGAAAATAAAAACTTTCTGTTGTGATTGTGACAACTGTTTTTGTATTGATTATTTTAACGAGAAGCGTCACGCTATGCAATAAATGATTTCACCAACAGCGAAGACAGAGTAGATGACATACGATGTATAACCTTCTGTCTAAGAAAACCAGACAAGAAAGTGTTTTTCTACTAAATTTCTTGTTAAAATATAGTGAGACCCACCGGTGGGTCTCATCCGATTGAATGTGTTAAAATAAACAGATATATCTATCGCTCGACGAAACGAGCTATCAAACGGCAAGCTGTTCTCTAACATCTCGCTTTTGCAAAACTTTTTGATGTTTTCCATCATCTTCTGCTCGAAAAATAGGCTTTTTCTAAAGAAATCAAAAAGCTTTTTCGTCGTTTTTTCGTCTATATATTTTGAATCACGCATTCTGAAATTCTCGAAAGACCCTCATTCTAATGACTTAATGTATTTTTTTGTTTGAAAAAGCATGTCAAAATGCAAGACATGATCGAGTTCTTTTTTTCAAAATTAAGCTTTGTTCTTATTATATATACAAACACTTATATAATTAGAGTGCTAGATTTTGAAAATTTTGCAGTTGTTGAATTTGTCTTCCTTTTTCTCCGCTTAAAAAGTAAGAAATAAAACAAAACGGATTTGTTATAGTCTAGAGTTTGACGTGCTCTTTCAAACAAAAAATTAATTAAATATATAGAATGAAGGATCACAGAAAATTTTGGAATATCAAATGAGCTATTTTTTAACTTTATTTGGTGAATATTTAACATAAACGTCATGTTATAGGAGTAAAAATTTTATCATAGCCTCTGCATCACAGCGATAACAAGTTCTGAAAACATCACATAATTTCAATGTGTCTGGTAAGTAAATCATCACAATATCCTGTAGATGCACATCTAAATCTTATTACATACCAAAGACATACTCTTGACATAAAGTATGATAGACAATATTACAGATTTTATATTTTTAATACTTTATTAGATGATGCGAACTTCTCTTATTGTATAGAAAAAAAAATGCAAATTCATATTTTATCTAAGACCTTAATAGAAAAATAATAAGATATGTCATATACATGCTTGTCATAATAAAGAACCATTTTTTTTAATTGCGTATTTCTTATACTGACTGAATTGAACTACACAAAGTGCATTAGTTTTGTAGAATTTTCAATGGAAGTTAATACGAGCAATGAATCTACTGAAACATCTTATAATGACAATCCATTTATGATGCCATTATTTGAACGAAATGTTAAATTCTATGTATTACTCACTCTTCAAATTCCTTCAATTTGTTGCACAATTTTCATGTAAATATAATTTAATGAAAAAACAAAAATTTCTCTTAAATTTTTAGGTTGTGTTATTTCAAATGGGGTCGCTTGCACAGTCAAATATATGGTATTCTAATTATTATCAATGGTTTAATCGTCATTATTGAATTACCTATTACCCTTATTTTTCTACATGAAGGAGCCATTCCTTCAGAAAATATATGTTCAGCATGGATTACTTTAAATTACTCACTTTTTTTCTTAAGTATCGCATTAATGGCTTGGACATCAATTGAACGTTATTTATTTATTTATCATGAAAGAGTTATTACGAAACATTATGTCTTATTACATTATGGTCCTATTGGATGTATTGTTTTATATGGTCCATTATTTTATCTTTCTTCAATCGTATGGCATACATGTCAACCCTTTTATGATGTTCATAGGTATGTTTGCGGTGGTGCATGTTATCAATTTGAACTCGCCCTTGGTTTAATTGATTGGATTGGAAATGTATTGAGTACTGTATTTATTACATTTATTATTAATATTATCATAATTATGCGTCATCTTGTACAAAAACATCGAATGAAAAGGGCCGTCATTTCCATTAATAGAACTCAGCAATGGGTAAGATTATAAAAAGAATACAATTTTTGTTAAATAAATTTTTTCTTTCTTTTTTTTTGTAGCGTCGTTCACTTAAATTAAGTGCACAATTAATTGCTGCTTCATTGCTTTATATTATTGGTTGGATTCCGTATACTACAATTGGACTTATTCAAATATTTGAAAATACACAAGAATTATCTTATCTACTTTCAACATATTTTGTCTATGTTCCATATATACAAACATTATTTCTACCAATTATTTGCCTTTTATTTATGCCGGATATGAAGCACAAACTTCATAGCCTCTTTACTGAATCTTATTTTGGTAAAATATTTGGTCATAAGAATCGAGTGCAGATTATAATGAACCAAACTAATATAGTTACAGGACGACCACCATTAATTAATCAATAATAAACTAGACTTTTACAAATGACTAATTATAAATAAATAATATTTCTATTAGAAATTCATCAAATTTTGTTTTATAAAGCTTTAATTGCAAATTGATGACAAGAAAATCAACGATTATGACTGTTCTCTTTCTCGTAGAGAAGAGTCCAGTAAGAATAAATTGTTTGCTTGATTGTGTGTCCGCAGGGTCAAAAAAACATCGAAGTCTGATTTTCAGGAAAAGACATTTCTAGAGGTATTTCGATACGGGGAATCCGAATCTGAGGTTAGTTTTTTGATATTCTCTTTCTCGTAGAGAAGAGTCCAGTAAACATAAATTGTCTGATTGATTGCTTGCTTGCTTGCTTGTCTGTCCGCAGGGTCAAAAGAACATAAGGGTTCATCGAAGGATAATCAGAGGTTATTTTTGGTCGGGATTTCGACTAATAAGGTTTTTTGACACTGCGGTTTCAACCAATAGGATTTCAGGGGGGGGGGGGGGG